TTACATTGATCGATGAAATACCTCTATAACGATCTAGTGGAAACATTAGTGAAGCAGTTTTTACCAGATAGCTGCAAGAAGTAAGTTTTGAAATGGTAGTTTGTGGATGAGCTGGCACACTTGAATTGAATAGTTATTGTAAACATTAAAAGATCAGCGTGTTGTTAGATTCAATCTTGTAAAAGTGATGCTCGATACTCTTCAACCTTTATCAACTAAAAAAGAAATGTTATTTCGTTTTACTGAAAGTTACAAGGAACAGAATATTAAGTAAACAAACGCATACCAATGCTATGACAACCGTGTACCTGCATATCTTTATAATCGTCCCAAAGGCGTCGTGGAATATATAATGAACAGAGATGCCATTGAAATTTAAAATTTGAAGATTTCCAAATCAGCACCATGCAAGATTATTCGATGTTAGAAGTGATGAACAGCATCAAGTTTGGCTGGGTTCTGAAACCCACTTACCAACTTGTCAATACACAGATTATAGAAGCAAGAAACTTCTTTGCAAACATATGTGTGCTGTTTTTTGACAAGCAGGCGTGGAACGGGAATCTCTGAGCTCACGATTTAACACTCACCCTCTGTTTATATTGGATCAAGAGGTCATTCATTTTTTAACTTTGCCATATTCTGCTGATGATCTTTCTAAACAAGCCACTCCGTCGATCTCTAAACCAAAGATGGACGAAATGGAAAGGTTGAGCAAGTCATCAGTAGAAGTAAAACCATCGCCGAGTACATCTGTACTTCCATGTAAAAAAAAATCAAATATTAGAAGGCAATGCATTCAAGAAGTTGAGTCTCATTCAAGAAGTTGAGTCTCTGTTTGATGAGCTCTATAGCATAACTGACAAAAATTTTTTGATAGAAAACACCATCCGAAAGAAAAGGATATCTCCTTAAAAGATAAATCTCTTTCGTCCAAAAGACCAAGAAAACAGAATTGCGTGATAAAAAGTTGTTGAGACAAAAGGCAAAGGACTATTTTTGCAAAAGAGTTGGATCGGTAGTTGAATCACAAAATGCGAATATTTTTGTACATGATGACAAGTGTATTGGAAAACGCAAGAGATCTACGCTTAAACCTCGTCTGTAGTCGATCTGAGTCGTCTGTAGCGCCCCTCCGTATTTATGGTATTACACAAGGTTTGTCAGCCCCTGCATACCTGGTGAAATTCTTTTGCAGCAAAGAGATAGAAATAAGATCATTTAAAAAATCATAAGATTTGCAGATAATCAAAACGCTTTACAAATCGGTGTCGGGAAAGTCCTACAAGACGTTTTTTTACTGCCAACATGTTAAGACACTATTACTAACTTATGACGCAAAAATTGAAGGCTGAATTGAATACTCTCTCCATACAGTAATTTTTTTCTTTCTGTCTACCTCAGCCATTAATAAGAGAATGCGTTATACCTTTTTATTTTATAAAACAACATAACTAATGATTTTTCAAAAATGCATGCTAACTTCATGTTAATTGCTGTCGCAGCCAGCAAGAACAAGGTGTGTGAGGAAGGAGGCAGACCTAAAGCTTACACCTCGCAAATCTTAAGATTTTGGCTTACTAAATGCAGTTTGGGTAAAAGTATGTACCCAAAAAATAACGCCCTCTTCATTCAAACGTACGTCATTAGCGTCAATCTTTATTCATGCAATTGTAATTCCACACCTCCTGGACAGACAGTGTTGTTGTGTAAAAATATTTTTGGACTTGTTTTTCTACATATCAGTGAGTGTAAAATAGTAATTGATCACTCAACTGATCTGTTTCGGGGTGATAATGTCAGAATTTGGTTTTTCCATGGCTTACAGTTTGAGTCATTGTGTGATTGTTGATTCGCTTTTAATGTCGTTCAGTGTTTTGGTGAGGTATTTTTCATGCCTTATATTTAACGTTGCATATTTCCACTCATTTTATAAACTAAAATATTTTTTACGTTCATGTATAAATTATTTAAGAATAAATACGCTCCGCATATCTTTGAAGTCGATTGGCAAAAATGTTTGTATGCTAATTGAGGTATCTTCCGCCATGTTCCTCAAAGGTGTCAACATAATCAACATACAAGACTTTTCTCAAAAATGTCATCTATGAAAACGAGCAGCTTTGTAATGTCAGTCAATAAAAACTCAACTGTCTCAGGCCCTCAGTTACAGCGTCTTATGTCTTGCCGATTTGATCCGTACTATCAGAAAATCTGTTGGATCTATCCGTCAATATAATCAAAATCATGCCGACTTCCAGCATATATACGTTCATAATGTTAAGCATTAATTTAGCTTTTAGTGTTAAAATCGTTACTTAGACTAGTCTTTTTTCTGCGAAAATTTAGCATTGGTTTGTATCTCATATTGTTTGTTTGATGTGTTAACATAAAATACAGTTGCATGTTAATTAAATTTGACTTTAACACTAAAAAGCCAAATTTAAACATACTTATTTTAAGACACTCCTTTTTTGCACGAATCCATCACAGGCCTTCATTCTAAAATTGGATTCTTTCTACTTCTGTTTCGGTGTAGTAACGAACGTTGTTAGTCTTTTTATTCAACTACTGCATCTCCTGGCCAGAAGTGGTTATAATAATTCGAAAATCGGTGGAACCTATTGCGCAAATCTTTGTCATATCACTGAAATATAAGATAATATAATAAATTAATTTCAACTTTACTTGGGGCATATGAGTGGATGGAAAATATTTACGACTGTTATAACGGGCTGTTATGTCCAAGTTTTGTTATTGGCTCACTGCCCTGGCGTACAGTTTTAGTGCAAGTGCTGCTGTGCCTTCTTCATATTTATTGGTGTTCATAGTTTTGGCGCAGTAAAGTTTGGGCCTTCATTTGCTGTGATTCACAGTTTTTGTGTGGTAATGTTTGTGCCTTGTTTAACTGAGTTGAACTTTCACTCGTCTTGTTATGAATTTCCACTCGTCTTATTATGAATTTTCACTCGTCTTATTATGTATTCGTTTTATTATCAAGTCAAATAATGCCATATAATAAACCTTTTAATAACCTCACTTTCTCGGTCTTTTTCTGAGAAATATTGGACCAAGGTATTTCTGTACAGACTGAGCCCGTAGGGCAAAAAGACCTAGCTTGGTTTCTAAGGGCTTAACAACCGATATTTCTCCGTAAAGACCTCGAGCTTGGTTATTAAGGGCTTGATAAAAGGTCTTTACTGGATGCCTGTAAAAAATAATCAACGTTACTGGGAATTTTTTGTATATTTTTTGGGTAATTATATATTGTTTAAATGCCTTAATATAGGGCCTTTAGTTATCTCAGTACAATATTCTCCAACTGCTCCATTATTCAACAGCTCACTGAATGATTTTTACTGAAATAAACTCGACATCAAAATAAATCATGTCTAGATAATGTGAAAGTAATATCCCACTGATTTTACCGATGACATTGAATCACGCCACAGATAGTGAGCTAATTAGGATACAAGTCAAAGGAAAAGGCTTGGATGCTTGAAAGTAACTTTACCTGCTCATTTTCTCTGGTTTTTATATCGACAGAACGCTAACTTTCTATATGCAGAAGCTTATCAATCCTTATCTTAGATCTACAACGAGCAAGACAAGCCAGCTGCATGAACTGTCACTATTGTATTGTGAACTCAAAGACTTGGTGAATTGCTACGAAGATATTCATTAATATAGTCATGCAACTGACTATGTACGTTGGAGGAAAAATATAATGCGTTGTAGTTAAAATACCATTTACGAAAATGCTATCTATCAAAAAGTAATAAATAGCAACATTGCATGCACACAACATATATTTTTAATGAAACATATGTATATGTTTGAAAGTAAAGCTGGCCAGCAACGACTCACTAAAAATGCTATCAGATTGTTTTTTCGTCTGTTAATTTAAAGATAGAGGTCTTGAATCTTTTTTGCTTTCTTAAATAAAAGGTCAATGTAGTAGATCGTGTAATCAAGTTATGCGGTCATCAATGATTTCTAAGTGTAATGAAATATTAATTTCCATGAATTCTGAGGAGCTCAGTTTATGTTTGAAGCAGATCAGCGTTTTTCGATTACTCTTGTAAGGTGCTCATTTAAATTTGCACAGATGTTCTTATCTAGATGTTTACAAAGGTCGTGTGTGTGTGTCATGCCTGTTGGAGCATTAATTTACCCTCTTTGTTTTTTTGAGAAATTTTGCATTTTAAATGTTACAAACAATGTATTTTTTCTTCATAGTATTATCATAATACGTCTGACATATTTGTAAAAAATGTTGAATGACGCAAACGGGCGAATGCCTTTCCATTTTGCTTTTAGGCAATGATTTGAGCAGATGTCGGGCAGAAACATAATATAGTGTATGTAATATGAAGTATTTATAATGCAAAAGATGCATTAGCACAGTACAGAAACAAACAGTAGTCCTACTCTATAAAAGTTTTTGCTAGGCGCATATCTTATTACGCATGTAATTAGCATAGTGATAGGCAGTCAATTGTTTTTCAGCAAATAGGAGACATGGGAAAGCTAGCCGCAGCCAGTAATCTAAATGAATATACAGCACCAAGTTGAGCAGTGGAGTGAGACTACTGTCTGTTCTTATACTGCGGCATTAGAAATAGATTCACTTTTCGCTAGTATATTGTCAAAATTTTAAACAAATATTGAAAATTTAATGGGATAAAAAAACCTTAGTTTGAGAAATATTTGATCGTGCTTAGCACTACCAGCACAACCAGCGCGACCTCTAGCTACGCCTTTGCACTAATTTAGCTATACATGCATCTTTGCAATGATATAGCTTAAGTTATATTGCAATAAAATTATTATTTCACTTATCTTTCAGCACATGTTCAGATTGTAATCACTTGTTGTTTGTTTTGTTTGGAGGGCCATGTGTTAACAAAATTATTATTCATTTCATTCTGATCTGTCTTTGATAGTTATATTTAAGCTTAGGCAGGTGTAATTCTTTTTGTTGTTATGTTGCACTGAAGCAAGAACGATGTGCTCTTTAACTATAAATATAAGAATACACGTTTTGTGCTTTATGTTTCAATTACTTCAATTTTCCTTAATAGAAAGAAGAGTTTTTTCAAAGTGCGCGCCACATAAATTAACCACTTTTTTAAAAAATGCGACTTCTTTGCTTCAAAATGATGCTTTTTGTAATCGTCCTGTTTTATTGCCAGCTACATATCAGTCAACAACAAGGGTTAAAGCTGCAGATTTCAAAAAACTACACGTTCAATTTCTTGACGATCTGGATCTAAAAGCTGACTGCGTATTTGATCATGTACAATGGAATGACATTTTGGACAACATCATTGCAGTTGAAGGGCAGAGAATAACTAAAAATCATGAGCCTGATGTTTTTGTCATACCAAACTTTTTCACCAATGAACAATGTGAAAAACTGATATCTACGCACAATGAAATGAAAAAGAGTGCAAAATCTTTAAAGTGAGTCTTAGCATGTATTTTGCCATTTCCTTGGCATTGTTAATAAAATGCAGTCTTTTTTTATAAGAAACAGTTAAAAATATCCTATTTGGACTCAATGTCCTTATTTTTTTCTCTGCTGGTTTCAGACTCAAAATTTTCTCATTTTTTTCTTATCATGCATTCATTTCTCTTATTTATGATAAATATTCTAGCTACAATGCATGAATTTAGAAAACACTAAGTTTATGATCAATCTTAGGATTAATGTTTCGATTACAGTATCTCAATAGTAAAATTAAATAAATTTATTGACTTCATATAGTACACACAGTTTTCTAAGATGTCAAAAAAGACAATTTTTCGGCTTTACGAACATTACTGTAGAAATTTAACAGAGATCAATTGCACGTATAAAGATTACCCTTTACAATTCTTCCTCATCCTCAAACTTTCTATGTAATCTTTAGCCCAAAAGTTTTTATTAGCTGAGTTCTTTTCATAAGTTATAATGTCAATAAAATATGGCCTTAAATATATTAATGTTGCTAATTCCATTACTTAGGGCCCAAATAGATGGATACTTAAATGCAAAACAAAAAAACGAATGAGGCAGTCAATAGTTTTATTACAGACAAAATCTGTTCCCGCTTTAAGTTTGAATTTCTCAACAACTATTTTTTTGGAAAATAACTTAAAATGCCAATATATGGCTCAATGTACTGTTTCCAGACAGCTTAACAGGATGGAATAGTTATAGATGGAATGATTTATAACATGTTATTTAAAAGCTTATAGCAAGACTGAGAATACGATTTTTGAGAGAAAACTCATCCTTACATGGGTTTTCCCAGTTAATAATAAGTATATATTTAAACAATTTAATATTATTCTCACACTTTATTGTCTAACCGGATGAATGCTCCATTCGAGTTTATGGAAGATAAAAATGTTGATTAGTAAAATCAAATATAACTTAACAAACAGATTATGTAGCTAGTAATGCTTTTTAAATGCTTCGAGGTATATAATAGTACGAAAATATAAGCAGTTTTGATGATATAAACCGCCATATAGTGTACGTTTAAATAAGAAATTAATAAATGTGCTTCTTTCTGATTTCAAAATAAATTTTAGAAAACTATGGAAATTTGCAACATCGCGACAGCTGCTTGAAACAATACATCAATCCTTCCTAAGCCCCCATGAATACAAACTTGATTTCTGCAAACAATATGACTGTGATGAAGTGTCAATTACTGGAGAGAATATTGACGAAAAATTATTGTACAATATCAGCTTTAGCTCTAGTGTATTATTAGCAAGGGGTGAAAATTCCCTTGTCGATTTACTGGAAGGTATAATTGAAGAAAAATTGGGACTGCCCAAAACGAACGCATATCACACACAATTAGTGAAATACAGAATAAATAGTGAGGTAAGCCTGTACTAATTTCGTTCATTCCTTTTTTTATTAAAGCTTCTAATTTATCAAAAAATATATATATTTTCTACAGCTGTGAACAGGCACATAGCAATCTGTATAGCTAATTGTATAATTTTGAGTGCAAACATAATTGGCCCAGAAATCTGCTTAGGTTTTATGCAGTTGATTTATGTTAGACCAAAATATCGAACTGTTGAGACCGTACATAGGTGGAAATCACGCGTGATTGCGTGCGTGACGAGCATTGCACATGAATCAAGGAATGTACTTACAATATTACATACATAAAATATATACATGCCAGTATATGTCAAGTTCTACCCACTGTTTTATTAACCAGTTTATTAGCCATTTACATTTTCTATTCATCATAAAGTTGTTTTCTTATTTCATAAAGCTATAGTATGTTTAAAGAATAAATTGCCTAAAGGCTATTTCAAAAATATAAAATTAGTGATCTACATACGCTAACAAAGTATAAGGCCAGTTCATATCGTCAGGGATCACACACTAATTTTGATGTTAACACATGCTATATGTATACATTTCAGTACAATATGCACACTGATTGTCATGAAATTACTAATGACAGAATGGCAACTATAATTGTATATCTCAATGATGTTGAACAGGTAGCATTGCATTTTAATTTTTTCAATTTTTTCCCGCATTTTCAACTCTTCTTCTTAAAAATTTTCAATGTGGACATGTAGGAACTATATTAAGATTTTTTAGACAGTTCAAATACGTTTGGCCTTATCATTTACGAATAAAAGAGAATAAAGCTAATTTTTTATTGGACATGACCCAGGCAAAGATATTCTTTAAACCTTGAAAATGATTTCCTTTTTTTATCTCTATAAAGGATTAATAAACTAAATATAAACAGCAATGTGGTTGAGTTTGTTTAGTGCTTCAACAAAAGCAATAAGCAGTGATGCAATCAATAATTTACCAATTTTATTAATCACCTGAACTTCTAGGGTGGTGAAACAGTTTTTCAAGCAATGAATATTTCTGTAAAGCCTCAGAAGGGAAAAGCAGTTGTCTGGAAAAAGTATATAAATAAATACCTTTTAGTTGATAGACATGCAGTATTAATTTGGACAACGATTGTAGACTTAAGCTTGTATGAAAATTATATGAGCGGATAGCTACAACGTTTTTCGTGATTTTTTCCCTTGAAACGAGTTTAAATTGAAGTGTATGTAATTAATATTTTCTGTAGTCCCCTTTGTGAGTATTTGTGAGTATCTACGATATAAAGTGATATATTTTTGCCTTTAGTTTAAATCTTCAAGGAAAGTGTGATGCAGCCACTTCCCATGTTGGTAAGCATTGGTTAATCCTGTTTATGTCAACCGTATCAGTTGATGCAGTTAAAATTTGCAAGTAGTGAAATTCAATTTACTATTCCTGTTGATATTACACTTACGGTGCGATATTATTTTCTCGAAAAAATTGTGTTGTTTAAAATTTTCCTTGAGAATTTCATATTTAACAATGTTTTAAACCAAATTTCAAAAAAACTCTTCAAAACACTTTTATACCAAAATATCTACATCGTTGTGCACTACAAGAAATAATAGGTTGTTTATCTCTCATTGTATTGTTCAGTTTCTTCAGCAAAAAAATCTGTTGATAGTGAGACGATTTCATTCATTGACAAATAATGTTCATCATTTTTCTACATTTGAAATAAAAAGCAAGATTTTTTTGCTTTTCGAAAATTTTAACTTAAAAAATTTTTCAGGATGATACTCTAAGAGCCTTGTAGTAGCTTGTATTAATATTGTCAACTCAAAAACTACACATGCACACTAACAAAAAAACTTATACATCTTGTCGTAATGAAATATAGTCAATGCTAGATCCATGGCTAAGAGAAGAAGAAAGAACGGAATGCATTTTTATTTTTAATTGCATATGCATGCATATATTATTATAGCTGCTAAAGTGATCAAAGGTCAAAAATTAATTTATCAAAAATGGTTTTATCAGAAACCAATAATGCCAAGCAGCAGAGAAAAGGTACGTTTACAGAACTTTATTTTTATAGTTTGATTGAAGTCTTTGTAAAACTTGAACTTACCCATTGATGACAGATCTCACTTACTCATTAAATATCATGCTTTCATTAACTTACAAAATAAGGAACGAAAAATATTTGACTTGCAAACAATAAATAGTAGAAAACATTACGAGGGAAATTTTTGTATGAGTTCTAGTGTAGACTAATATTAATTTGCAAGCTCAACTTGAGTTTAGTGTGTGCCCGAAATTCCTTTGGGCTTCAATCATTAGTACGTCGTCAGTTCATCTTTTCCTAACCACAAAATTTGCCAGTGACAAGCATTTTCTGATAATTACGAGTTTTTCTAAAACAAAAGTACGTTTCAAATTGTCTTTGAGAAAAATGTACAGGCCCACACTTTTTGTCAATGAGTTTATTCATGGATACATTAACTTTAGTACCATTGTTAAAATAGTATTATAGTACCATTGTTAAAAAAATGCAATTCAAAATTGAAAAGTATAATATAAATAACATTTCAACATTTATTGCCTCAATTTGAATGAAGGAATGCGAGAGAAGTGCTTTAGATGTTGAAATTTCTGGCGCTGAAAGGATCTTACACGAACTTTTTTTTGTTTTACAAACTTTAAAATTTATCAAGAGTGCTTTTCGTGTGTTTCTAATGATTGAAAAACTTTTGCAACAATAATGAAGGTAATTCACCTTTAAAATACCGTTTGATGAAGATGCACGATTGAAATATTTATAAAATTTTTAAAAACTCCTTTCTGAATAAAGATTGCAATTTTTAAAAACAAATGTGCAAATATGGTATCAGGTTAATAAAATACACTCTCAGGCACTAAAATAAATAACATACTTGGTGTCGAAGTAGCTAATTTTTTCATCTTTTCATAAATTTTTGTAAATGTTCAACATCGTTGTTCATGCTCTGTACATTTGAAGATTCCAGTGTATTGTGATTTAAGTGGCAGCTGTCGTGAATACATATATAACGTATCATCAACTAAGGCAGTAAAGGTAAGTAATTTGCACTTTTATTGTTAAGAGTTTTTATCACTATTCACAAAAGATTTTATTAAGCAGCGCCAACTTGGAATGAGAGCTGCTTATGTGTAGTTGAAGACTATAAGCCCTCAAACCAGTAAATACGTTAAAAAAACTAGTAAAAAAACACTGTAAAACTTGTATGTTTATTTGTAAATCTGACTAGAGTAATTCGCTCAACAAATAAAATATTGTTATTTTGTTTGAGTTGTTTTCAAATCTTCAAATGTTTCAAATGTTATTTGATATGAATGAAACAAATTCGACAGAGAAAAAACTAGGAAAGATTTAATTTCATATCAAAATGAAAGAAAAACGTTTTTGCTATTTATCTCTAAATTCAAAACAGCAATACCATGTTATTACAGTTGATGAATATGTATGAATATGAGATGGACCCATACAAAAGACTGGAACACTGTGAGCAAGCCTTGTATGAACAGGTGCGCATTCATAAATCAATTTTAACAAAATACAAGAGAAATGTGTTGAATTTTGTAAAAGAGTTAAAACCATACAATTTTGAATATTTTCAAACCAAATAAATCGAAGAACAGTCTTAATAGATTGTAGCCTTTATAGCTATCTGCTTTATCGATTTGCATCAACCTGCATTCTGTATCAACCGGCAAATTTATGTGGTATACATGCAATCCAATCATTCCAATAATTTAGAAACCATTTCTTTTTATATCTTAGTACTGTCAAGATGAGGCAAAGACGCCATTTTGAAAAGTGATAAAAGCAAAACTCAAAATGAAAAATAAGCTAAAAGAAGGATTTAAAACGCATGTCTTATCAAGCATTTTAAAAATTAAACCTAGATGATGAAATTTGCAACCGTATATAAACTCACGGAAAGCTGATATTAATCGTAAATATAGCCGGTTCTGCCACCTTTCAAGATGGCAGCTTGCCTCATTCCTAACTATAGAATTTTAGAGTAGTCAGATATCTAGTAGATTGGGCTCTAGGTCATTGATGCAATCTTTTTCAATGTTCATTCAATCTTATAAAATATGGTTTTGCAAAATTTCTCTGTAGTTGGATGTAAAATTGTCTAATCATACTGTAACCTAATTGGCTACAAAGCAGTGAAAGCTGTCCAGATTGCTTTTAATTCAAAAATGACAAAGCTGCAGTTTGTACGTAAAAAAAATCCTACCATTGTAATCTTAGCAAAATTGAGAATTACAAACAATGAAAAAAATAAGATGTTCATAAATATTAAGCTTTTCTTTATTAATAGAGGGTTAATCGTTACGCGTTTTTCGAAAAATCTTAAAATGTAATACTAGCAACTAACACTAACAGTACAGTACTTTTCGTGAGAAAATGGCAACACACGCACTCGTGAGTTTTTAAAGACTGTAATTTTGTTAAAAAAAATTCACTTGTGCACCCATAACTGTACTCGAAACGAACGTTAATTGAGATCAAAAACTTTTGAACAACTTATTGAATAAAATAAACAATTCTTATGCCCTTAATAACTGAACGCGAGGTCTTTACGGAGAAATATCAGACAGAAGTAAAGACCGAGAAAGCAAATTATTGGAAGGTTTATCATAAGACTTATTTGACCTGAAATGAAGCTTGCTTTCTTTCTCGTTTTTGCTGCTTTTTACCGGCTGGCTTTCACTTTTCTAGTTTTCGTCCAAAAAAAATAAATTGTTTCAAATCGTATCGTCTGGATAGTTAAACAGTTTTCCAAGTGTTTTTCCTTCGCATCACCTTTGTAAATGGTTTCTTGCTTTGTTTATTTTGCGTTTGGCCATTTGCATTACTAAGTTTGTTTACATTTGACTGTAAAATTACGCATTTTGGAACGTGTTCGATTACGGAAAACAATGGAATGGCAAAAATGTTTCTGAGCCAATCGAAGCGCGCCATTTTGCCGGAAGTGACGCTTGCCATATAATCGTCAAATCGTCATTCGTGGGAAAAAAGTCAATTTTCTGATTAAGCCCACTTGACAAGCTGTCAAAGAATTTTGAAATACCCATATTTCCATATGATCGCCAATCGTCAAAACACCCAAAAAGCATGGGTTCTAGGCAAAATTTGTGCACATTTCGAATAAAGCGGGACCAAAAAAAAACAATGGAAAATGTACTTCTAAGACAAAACAAATATATATATTTATCCTATAGCATGTACATGTCGTCTAGACTTGCCCAGATGGTTATAGTGCCTAAAAAATCTGTATTATGGAAAAGCTTGAACAAATTATTTTGAGCTTCTCTTGAGCTTTTAAGCATAAACGTGTTGAGGACGCCATATGTAAATAGATGGAAGATTGCTTAAGATTCTTTCAGTGATGATCACACACACCGTTCACATAAAGACATGTTATTAAGAAGTTTACAATACATCTAATATGCTATATATACATGAAGTATACTCTTATGAAGTCCGCTGATCATTGGACTGTATTAATTTACACTTAACACACCCACTTAAATTAATAGTGGTTACATCAAACAGAGGAATAGTAAATGATTCTAGTTACATTTTTTTCACAAAGAAAATATTTATAAGAGAAAAATAAGTTTAATAAAGAGCTTAACATCTCATGAGACTTTTTAAGAATTTGCAAATCTGAAATCTCGTCATGGGTTTTGTAAAAATGTCAGATATGTTATCTGCCAAAGCTATATGTTCAACCTGTATCACTTTAGATCTAACATTATCCTTCACAAAATGATAGCGTATATCTACATGTTTTATCGTTGCTGCTGCACGGGTTCTTAGAGGGAAATATGGCACTTTAGTTGTCCCCGAAGATTGTTTTTGGAACCATTACTACAATAAAGAGCTCACTGAGAAGGTTTTTGAGGTGTTTAGCTTCCTGAACCACAGGGGCCAAAGCCATATATTCGGCTTCACAGGTGGATAACGCCACCATAGGCTGCTTCCTGCTCTTCCACGACACTGCCGAGCTGCTCTCTGATAGTTTGAAAACATATCCTGTAATGCTTTTTCTATCTACAGAAGACCCCCAATCTGCATCGCCAGTAACCTTGAAGGTTTACACCAGTTGCTGACTTTCTAAAGATTAACTTATGCTCAGATATTCCCTTAAGATAGCGAAGTGCATGCTTTGCTAAAGATAAATGATTACTTGTGGGATTTCCCATGAGCTCTGATAGTTTAGTCACTATGAAAGATAGGTCAGGTCTAGTTGCAGTCATCAGATATATTAAACTACCTACTATCTCTTGGTTAAGTTTCTTATCACACCGCTCTGCAGTTTCTTTACTAATCTGATTGGCTCCCAATTCACACGGAGTTACTCTTGGCTTACAATCTAGCATTTGAAATTTAATTAAAATTTTCTGACATACTTAGTCTAATCTACGGTAACTCTGGTTCCATGAAAAGAGAATTTAATACCTAGGAACCAAGAAAGCTACTGAAGGTCTTTCATTTTGAACCTTGTACTCAAATCATTCTTTACCTCACTGAGAATATGTGTGGATTTAGACGCAATAACAAGATCGTCAACCCAAACCAAAATGATGGTAGTCTCATCCACATTTTTACGAACATAAACACAATGATCTGATTTTAGCTGATTAAACCATTTTTCTGTCAAGAAACAATGTAAAATAGAATTCCAATTGCGTCCACTTTGCTTCAAACTGTAAAGTGACTTGTTAAGACTGCACACTAATTGTTTTCCATCGCTTTCACATTTGACATAGCCCTCAGGCTGCTCAACGTATATCTCGCAGTCTATAGGTGTGTTAAGATACGCAGTCTTAACATCCATCTGATGTATTGACATATCATATAAGTCAAGAGCAAGCTGTAATAATATACGAATAGAAGTTATTTTAGTCGTTGGAGAAAGTGTATGGAAATAATCTACACCAGCTGATTTGGAATACACTTTGGCAACAAAGCGAGCTTTATAGCTTAGTTTTCCCATATGCCCCTCTTTTACTGTGTAAACCCAACGTGCCCACACTATACTCTTACCCTCTGGCAATTCTGTTAACGTGTACGTATTGTTTTCGTCTAAAGACTTTACTTCCTCATTCATAGCCTGTTGCCCCTCTGCACGATCGTCTGACTCTACTGTCTCCTCGTACATTCACGTTACAACTGACGTTACACAGCAATATTCTATGTTATAACCTAATTTGTCATCATCGTCCTTGTCCTGTTCCAAGATATAATCGTGCAGATGTTGTGGTTTCCTAATTTGCCTAGTTGGATACCTCCTATCCTAGTTTTGAGGTTCTACCGATGGGTCTACGGCTGTATTCTCTGGTGTATCTATTCTTCCGAGATGTGCTTTCCCCGCCCTAGGATCCACTTGTGGAGGGACTACTTCTCTATCTACATTACCCTTTGGTGAAAAATAAACATCTTCCTTCACATTTCTACCTGGATAATTAGAAATACTGGACTGGTATTGGTTTGTAAATTTTACATTTCTACTTTTTTCTATTTTACCTACTTCTGGAAATATAACTATGTACGCTGAGCTATTCTTGTCGTAGCCTAAAAAAATTCCTTTCCTACATCTTGCATCTAGCTTCTTTTTGTCGTGAGTGTAACAAAAGCAATATGGCCATGTTAGAAATTTCTGTTTTTTTGCCTGTAAGTGCATGATATGATTTTTCGTAATACGATTATTTTTCGAACACCTGTTACGAATATAGGTTGAAGTCAAGATTGCATGAGGCCAAAATTTCTTTTCTAACTTAGCATTAAAGAGTAGACACCTTGCCATTTCGAAGAGTGTGTGAAAGTTCCTTTCTGCAGTATCGTTCTGATGTGGAGAGTATGGAGCTGATATTTCGTGCATGATCTTATTTTTTGTAAGAAGAGATCTAAATGCTTGACTTATAAATTGTGAACCATAATCTGACCTAATAAATTTGATCCTCCCATAAGGAGATGAATCAGCAAGAAATTTTTCTGTAGCAAATAATGTATCAGAATTATTTTTTAATAGATAAGTGAAGGTTGCCCTCAAGTAGTCATCTGTAGTCACAGACATTCTCCTTTGTTTTCACACAAGAATGCATGCCATTGACAACACCCTCAAGTTTAATTGTATCCTTTAAGTTACAATGTCCTAGAATTTCGTGCCATGTTTTCAGGTTGTGCGAGCTAGATTTTACCCCATATAAATAATAGAGCCTTCCTTCCTCGTGAATGTCAAAACTTTGTTCCATCCCTACTGCTTAATGTTGCTTCATGTGGAAGGAAGGTTATTGTTACACCATTCTTAGATGCTGCCTAAACTGAGAAGATAGTTTGCGAGAAGGAAGGTACATAAAGAGTATTCTTTAAAGATACATTATGCTGGTTTCCTAAATTGTCTTGCAAAATTACTTTAGCATTGCCCCTTTTTAAAGCTAGGTTATTATGCCTGGTACCATCAGCTAACTCGATAAATGAATGTTTGGAACAAAATTGTTCTCAAAACTTACAAAGTTCTTCTCATCGTTTATTACAAGTGTGGTAGCACCACAATCAACTGATAAACTTGCCATCAAACATTTTGTATCCTTGCTGTTGCTCAGGTCATCAGTTACTTGAAAGATAAATGCATTCCTGTCTTCTTGCTTTTGAAGTCTCTCGCGTGCGTATTTTGCTCCGTCAGATTGCTGTCCGTGATCTTTCTTTCTACAGTCTTTAGTATTATGGGTACTTGTCTTGCAATTATTACACCACTTCTTTGACTTGGGACACTGATCTGATTTGCATCCAAATTGCTTGCACGTATACATTTGATCTTAGAATTAAATCCCGTTTTCAGCACACTGTCCTTAAATGATGGCTTCTCCTTTTCTTCGTATGCCCGAAGTGCGACTTTAAATTCCGAGTACGTTGGTTGTTTGTGTTTTTGCGTGATTACAGTATTAAAAGCTTTTTGTATTCCGATGGAAGGCCCTTAGCAATCATTGTTATTAGTAAAGCATCACTAACTTCTTCTACGTTCCTCAGTGCTCCTACTACCGCCTCCGCACGGAGCATGTAGTCAGTCACGCTTTCTGCTTCCCCTTTACACAGCGTGGTGAACTCTGTATAAAGCGCGATGACTTTTGGTTTACCGCTTGACCTGTAATGTTCTCTTGGGATCTTTATTGCGTTATTCCAGTTATCCTTGGTATCTCTCGTGACTAGAGAAAGTGATCGATCGTCCAGAACTTGGATTAATTCCGCAAAAACGTCAGCGTTCTTTGCCGGATTAGGTTCGTCATTTTGGACAGTATCTTTCAACTTTAAAATATGAAGATATCCCATAAACTTTGTCTCCCAAAGTTCATATTTCCTTTCGTCTCATCAAAATGTATTCGTGACCTGGTCCCAAAACCTGTTGAGGTCGCCTTATGTAAATAGATGGAGGATTGCTTAAGATTCTTTCAGTGATGATCACACACACCGTTCACATAAAGACATGTTATTAAGAAGTTTACAATACATCTAATATGCTATATATACATGAAGTATCCATATGTGATTAGTTTTGTCTTGTTCCTTTGTAGCTCGTTTGTGTTCAGCAAGTCTTATGTTTAATTTCCTGTCAGTTTCCCCGATATTACGTACAAATCATATGTGATTCACCGGACGCTCCACACAACGAAAACAACTATTTCAAACGTGTTTTTGACAAAAACAACTTACTCTGACTTCATGAAACGTAACACTTACAAACACAATGAGCCCAACGAAACGAACAACTCAACGACAACAGCAGCGATACCTTACATGAAAGGTACGTCTGAGATAATCTTGCGTATCTTACGACTATACAACATACGTGTCACACATAAACCAATAACAACATTACGACTAGTACTACAACGAACAAACTAACGAACGAAGAGGTGCAGTTTACAAAATAAACTGCTCCGACTGCCACGCCTCCTATATCGGGGAAACTGTCAGGAACTTAAACATAAGACTTGCTGAACACTAACGAGCAACAAAGAAACAAGTCTAAACTAATCACATTGCCGAACATTACCAAATCACAAAGCACAACATTGACTGGGACTCGGCAAAATGCATTACTTACAGTACTGACTATAGACATTAAAAAGTTGGTATACCAACTTGGAAACAATCCCCATGAATAGATCACAGCAATTACCGGCACCTTACAAACGACTTATTCACAATATAAACAAACGATCAACTAAAAGCATTACACTTCACACTAATTCACAACGACAATACACATTTCCTGTACACACAATACAATGACGTTAGAACCAGATAACAAATACGGCTAACCTGACGTTTACTCCTCATTTGACTCTGGAGATGACTACCGCTAAGGTTGTCGAAACGTCAGTCAACAACAACAAAAACAGTCCTTCTCAGGACTATACCAACCTGGACTATCTACATTTACAAACATGTAATGAAGTATACTCTTATGAAGTCCGCTGGTCATTGGACTGTACTTGTTTAAACTTAACAGTCATAAATCATTGAAGGATGTCCTTTACAAGAACAACATTCGATGATTGATGCTTATTTGTTAGAAGAATTAGAAATGCAATGTCTATTTTGGCTTTACTTTAGTATAAATTCATGGTTTGAATTATTTTTATTGCGCGCTAAATCGTCGAATCGCCTGATTCCCGGTTTCCATTAAAAATTACAATCATCGGCCATTGCCGCTGGCAAAATTCGATCGTCAAGATAGAACTTGGTTCATCTCGACTCATACTGACTCACTGAACACAGTTGGTGAAGTCAAACGCTGAAAGCAAATGAATTTATTTTTCTTTCGAATATTGTGCAAAATACAAATATTATTTCTATGGATTTACAATTTTAGCTATTTTACATCAAGAGAAATATGATACGTGTAAAACTGTGAACACGAAATATGAAAGACTTGCAATCATTTGCAATGCGCAACGCAAAGCGTTTACTTTCAAATTTAATCTAATACAAGTCATAAGTGTGTTGTGTTTATGGGAATGACGTTCTCTTAACAATATCTTAGACACGTCAGAAAACTGTTTTGAAACAAAATAGCAAAAATGATTTACGGTAAAAAAACTTTTAAATTTTTTTAGAAATCTAAATGACGTACTTTCCTTGATGCGAGGCTTGAGCACAGTCACGTGACATGCAATCTACGCTAGAGCTTTCGAAAAATGCAGAAAGGGTTAAACAATTAATTGGTCATATAACTAAAGAATATTTTCAAATCTTAAACAAGTTTGACGTGAATGATATTAAATACATAGTTTTATTCGAATAAGGCTCATATTATCTACTTCATTTAGTAATAGTCTACTTCATAGGCTACCCATATGTACGCACGTGCCTATTTTTGTCGCAATGTATTTGTTTACGAAGTAAAATTTAAGTTTTTAAAACTGATTTAAAAGCGATATAAATTGGTGAACGAGAAGGCAAAGTGTATTCAGATGAATGTTATCATAGCAAGAGTGAATTTTACTATCCAGACGAAGAGAAGTTTGAAGAAACAAATTAATTTTGGGCTCAACATATTTTTTCGCAATGTATTTGTTTACAAAGTGAAATGTAAGTTTTTAAAACTGATTTAAAAGCAATGTAGATTGTTCTGCGAGAAAGTAAAGTGTATTCAGATAAAAATGGTCATAGCAGGAATGAATTTTACTATCCAGACGAAGCGAAGTTTGTAGAAAACAATCCAATTTTAATCTCAACATCAAGTTGTATCGGACCATCGGCCATTTTACAACGCAAATTTCTTCATAATAAAAATAAAAAGTAAATATGTTATATACTGTTTAGGTCGGTCCGTACTTGAAAAATATTTTCACTCGGTCTGAAAAGCGGCCTGAGCCCGAAGGACAATGGCCGCTTTTGAGATCTCGTGAAAATATTTTTTCCGTACGGACCTTCCATTCGGTAAATATCATATATTTATTTGTAAATATGACGTCAGAATTACAGATATCAAGAATTATTTACAGGTAGTTGACCAATCAAAACCAGCGCTCATAGTTAATAATAATATAAATATTATAGATTTTGAAAAAATTGCTTGAAGGTAAATTATTTTTTGTAAATAGAAATTTTATTGAAAAGTTGGGAGTGTAAAAAATTTTTTTCAATTTTTTACCCAGTTGAATTGTTCATTTTAGCCCGTTTATGCTGAAGGACTTTTAAAATGTTCAAAATTGTGCTTCAGTCTTGGTCAGTTGAGACAGGCACTTACCTTTGCTGTCAGGTAATTGTACATGTTTATACATACCACGTAGCTCTTTTTTGAAAATTCTTCATGTTTTCTTAATAATTTGTATTGAATTATACATAAATTAAATAATATTTCTTGCTTCTTTTAAATACCGGATCGAACATTTAACCCCCTAGAAGCCGTTGTTGCTCAGGAGCAACAATCACCAAACGATGTGCGTACAAACTTTCGAGAACGTCCGGCCACTAGAGGGTTAATTAACAAAAACTCGCTCGCAGCCGCATCTGTAGCAGATTGCAGCCCTCACCAGCAAACGGACCTATGTATGTTGCAAGTTTCCATGAGTTGCAAGTTGCATGAGTTTCGTATCGATTTCGGCGGGCGTACGTCGCACGTACAATTTCGTGTTACTTGCTGTTAACCCTCTAGAGGCCGTTGTTGCTCACAAGCAACAATTACCAAGCGATGTGCATACGAACTTTCGAGAGCGTCTGGGTCCTATAGGGTTAAGTGAAAGGTATTCTTTTCTTTTAATAACTACATCTAACAATTAAACCTGTCTTAAATCTTATGTTTAGATAATTTTTAGCCTAGTATTTTGCAAATACCCAACGCTAAACCATACTTTTTCACTTTAGACTTTTGGAAATGCATCCTCGAAATGAGGATGCTTTGAAGATTTTCCATTCAATCTTGAAGTCTTTGGACTTTTCATAGTAATCATTGGATGCATGATAATTTTAAAGGACCAAATCATGCAGCAGTTAATAATTATGAAAAAAGCTGGAAGAATCATTAAAAAATAATCATTTCATTGAACATGATTGGTTGGGACAATCTGTGCATCATTTAAATAATAAAGAATTTTAACATTGACTTGCGTTTATATCTTAACTAACTTAGGCAGAATGGTTTAAGTTGAAAACGCATGGGAATATATAATGACAAGTAGACATTATGATTGAACAAAGTAGCAATTTTGTAAAAGATATGGCCACATGAAATATATCTAACGTAAGAAGGCTGTCTGAGTTCTGCATATTTAATTTTTCACTGGCAGCTCACCATTCCAGTTGATTGGAAAATACACTTGCTAATCATTTGCATGTAATAACATACGTTTCAGACAAACAATTTTACGGAAGTAAAAAGATTGTATGTTCTTCTCACAATGATAAAGCTGACAGCGAAATACGTATAATTACATCTGGAGTAGCGAGCCCGCACGTTTTGTTTCACTATGTAAATTTCAGGGCATTATCACTAATAATTTTGTTACAAATCTATTGTTTTTGGAGTGATTACGTAAGCACAAAAAAATCACATAGAAATCCCAAATATACAAATTAGTTTTGCCTTAAGGAATTTATAACGCTAAATCAAGGGGTGTTGATCTTCATGTATCAGCTCAGCCTGACTGACTCGTTTTAATAACATTGGTAATAAGTATGGAAAAGTTTAGTATAGTACTTTTTTCCTGTCCTCCTAGCCTATCTATTAATTTTGTCCATTGTTACGTCACTTGCTATAACACTAAAAACTACTTAAGAAGATAAATAGAGACCTGATGAACAAGCACTTTCACTTATGATAAATTTTTGCTTCCCTGTTTACTAATTAAGGAAAACCGAACTTCCAGTGAAGTTGGAGTAGTCCAAGAATTTCATTAAATTCAAGCCCACAGGGCTCAATTTTGTGGCTCCCTGCTTGTTCTTTATTTTGATTAGTTGCACAGTTTTGATGATCTTGCCATAAGTGTTACTGTTGTTATTTCATTTTCTCGTTTTGACACCATGGCATGGATTCAGGGGCGTAGAATGAAGGATAATTTGTGGGGTGGGGAACATACTTTATAAATGCATATTATAATTTGAAGAAAGCAATGGACTTTCATAAAAGTTAATCCTGCATGAATAACTTGCATATTTGATTATCGCCCCACCCCCCACAAATCATTAAACTTCCTTCGCCATTGCATGCATTATACAGTTATTTTATTGATTTTCGATAGTTCAGATCGAGATATACATGAAATTTAGAGATTTTTTTACTGAAAATTCCCAAAATGTCCCACATTTTCTTTGCTATAATGCGACAGATAAATGCAGAAAAAAAAAGGCAAACAAGCATTCTTTCTATTGCGCAATTGTAATTATATTATTATGCAATTCTATTTATATTATTAAGCAGTTCTTCTGCCGAATCTAAACAAAATATTATTTTTTTGAATAATTTTAAATATTATATGTCATAGGGAGGCGAGAGTAGGTGACTTACTTAACACGCGTAAATGATGCAATTCTTGTTCCATCTAATGATCTATTGTCATCGCAAAAATATTGATTTTTCATAAACAACAAAGAAAGTTAAAGATCATAGCGTATAGCATTTTTCGCTTTCCTTCTTGCTTAAGGCTTTACTCAGTGAGTGTATGTATAACTCCTTGCCTCATTTGTCAAAACAATTTCAACTAGTGAATGTTCGTCTTGGTGCACTTTCAAGGTTCGTCAGACATTTTTTACGAACATATGTGTACAAGGTACATAGTTTGTTATCATTTTTAGTTAGTGTTTTGATTTTTGTTAGTTTTCTAGCTTGGCAATAACCATTCCGTTAAACACACTTAATATTGCTGTTGCCTTTACTGAATTGATGACTAATAATGGATTTTCCTAATTGTTTCATTGGTTGAGTTGAACTTTACTTGTGAATATTGAAATAAGCAAGTTCCTCTTATTAAGCACTTTCTGCCATGCACACTACTTGCACCAGATACTGAATATACTAAATAAATTTGAAAACGACTAAACATTTCCTCCAAATTTGGGCATGTGTTTGTTTCAACTTATTTATCTGTATGCTTACGTGCACCTTATTATGTCCGTTTTGTTTCATTTTATTTAATGGAATTGTAGGTTACACACTAAATTCTATGAAGTAAATGAATATGGGGTCATAATTACATATTTCAAGGGTAATTCCAAATCAAGGTATAATAATTTACCCCATTTTATAGAATAATGAAAAGAACTAAAATAATTGCCAAGTTTTTGGTGTTCTGGGGTAATAATTACACCAAAAAGTGGAAGGATTTGTTTTACCTTGACGACAATATAAACAGAAGCTGGGGTGAACTAAATTGGTAATAAAAAGTGCTACAAATTACTACCAACGTCTAGGGTAAAAGTTTAATGGGGTCAACTATGGGAGTCCAAGGGCATGTTCTTCCGGAATATTTTGAAATCCAGAGCCTTGGAAACAGCATTTCCTACGATTTCGAGGGCGAATTATTTGTTGTACAATAAGTTAAATACACGTTTTTATTAGCTGCATTCTTAATGTGGCAATTTTCAAAACTGCAAATAGTTAAAGGTACTAAAGGTGGCTCAGAGAAACGTTACGCAGGCGGTAACTGTCTCCTAAAGCATAATGAATCAAACTCATCACTGCCCCTAAATAAACAGAAAAATTTGGATTAGCACAGAAAACAACATAGTAAACGATACTTCCTAAAATGCATAGGGAGAGATTGTCCTTAGCATTTCACTAGTTAGCTTACACTTGTTTAAATTGGGGCAGGTAGAGTGAGATGGCTTTGTTCTTTAAAGTAATGCTTAATTTTCTCAACGAACCACCATAAAAACAAATATAAAAACACCTTCAATACCCATCATTTATGAAAAAAGGCCAGCCTCCAGGGTTTTTCTACAAATTTTTCAACCACCTCATTTTGCAACACCTCTGATTCCTCTTGTTGTTCAATGATATCTTTGTGAATAGATATTCTACACAAAGAGCTAAGCCAACCTTGATCCATTCTATTCCTCACATAGCTTTTTACTCTTTTCAAGCAAGAAATGACCTCTCTACTGAAGCACATGTCACTGCCAAGACACAATTTAATTTTAACAAATTTACCACTTGACGTAAACAGGACTAGAGATTAAAATTGTAGATGTATTTAAGCACCTTGTTACTGCACTCTTTGTGAAAGTTCTTCTCGTTGCAACTGAAGGAAAGTTGACTCTCCAAAGTTGGAAAGTCAAAAAGAGGAATATACTTGTCTTTCAGAAGATTGATCTTGTCACGTTGAACTATGCCCTTCCATGTAGTAAATAGTTTAGGATTTACAAGATCTAAAAACTCGAACTATAATATCTTGAAATCGTTCAAGTGATGCAATGAACTGCTTGAAATTGTCAATCTTGCTTATGCCATGATTAAAATGGGTTTCCTTATTTTTAAAAAATGGAATACAAAATTATGGACAGTTCTAAAATCCTATAAAAAACACACACTAGAGAACAAAAGAGAAAGCTATCAAGATAATGCAGTAAGCCACTTATTTTACTTAATGACTCATCATCCCACCCAGCTGGTTGTTCAAGTACCCCCTCAAAAATATCTAAATGTTTTTTATAGTTTTTGTGCAATACATTGATTAATCTAGAGCAATACTGCCATCTTGTTTTACCAGGGGCAGGAAACTCAAGTTTGTTTAAAGTGAGAAAAGCTTTTCTTTTTGGGACATTGCTTGTAAATTTTAACAGGTTAAATTGATGAGGCTGACTGGCATAGGACCAGGTTCAATCTATGAGCTGCACAATGAACAAAATGGGCAAAAGGATACTCTTGTCGAAGCAGTGCTTGAACACCATTGATATGGCCAGGCAAGATAGAAGCACCATCATATGTTTGCAAAACAAGTTTTTCTTTTATATCAGAATAATCGCCAAGCTTATAGTTGACAACTTGTGACTTTGCTGTGGCATTTCTGTTCATACTTACATCCACTAATCCTAATTGCCTCTCAATAATTTCACTTGCTTTGTCAAACAGAGCAATAACACTTAACTGCCTTTTGGTGGAAGCATCAGATGCTTCATCAACCTGAATACTCATATATTTGCATTCTTTTATTTCCTTCCTAATTTCACCCTCAAGAATGGAATCAAGGCAGCTAATAAGATCATTTTAAATTTCTGGGGACACTCCAGTAAATCTTCTGTCACCAACTAAATCAGATTCTGCTAGTCTGCCGAATCAAACTAAGCAAAACATTGGAGCAACTGTCTGTATTTATCTTTGTTCAAGCTACCTTCGGACTCGTCGTGATCTCTAAATGGCAACTCTTGCTTTGACAAGTACAGCACTGCCTCAGTAACAGTTTTTAAAATTTCTCCATTTTGTCCTACCTCCTCAGTGTGACGCTGAATCTCGTTTCTTCTAGCGATTGACATAAGACAATCAATTCGTTCACTAGCTCCATACATTTTCCATATCTCAAAAGCAGTCAAATGCGATTTAGATTTTTCATGCTCTTAGCATCAGACATAATACTCCGCATATCGTTGTAGCCATTGATGGCAATGTTGGCAATGATGGCGATGTTGGCAATGATGGCGATGCTTGCAGGAAAAACATTGGAAACGGCCAACAAAACACTTTCTGCCAAATTGTAGTGCCACACAGCCAGTCCTTCATCTCATACCAATCTCTCTAAAATGCTTGCTCTTTATTTTGAATTATTAAATCAGGAGTAGGCTGTTCATGAACGATAACATTTTGTTCAACAGACGATCGAAGAGAGTATGGTTTAGCTAATAAGCTATTTACTAAATCAACATCAGTTGAGCAAATCGCAGTCGCACTTGAAGCCATTGTGTCATACACAAATACAAAATAGCAATTTTAGAGCAAACACAATAGAAAATTAATACCGACAATAATCTCATAATTTGATAATCACTAACCGCTGTACTCGTATCAAAAGCTCAAATAATTATAACCTCCGCCAATTTAAAATAGCGGGAGTTCGACTATAAAAAAGGACATTTGAGCATGCGCCAAGTGCCTTAACCAACCAGAGACAAAAAATTCTCATATAGAATTATATTCTATATTCCGCCCTATGAAAATAGGCGGAACACGTGGAGAAATCGAGCGAGCACGCACTGAAATGTGCAAGGAAAGGCGGTTGCTAAGTTACAAGACAAATATTGACATTTTGTGTTGTTGCAATTA